GCCCCTCCCCGGCCCGTTCACCGGCACGCCAGAGGGTGGCGGCCGGCACCCTCCGAGGCGCCTCGGGCGGGTCCCCCTGCGGCCGGATGGCAGCCTGCGGGAGGGGCCCTTTTTTCTCCGGCTTCATTCCGAGCGCTCTGCAGCCCTTCGGGGGGTGTGGCTCACCGCGCCCCGCCGCCCTCGCCCCCCCCGGGTGCAGCGGGTGCGCTGCGGTCCCTCGCCGCCAGCCATCGGACTGCTGCACTTGGCCCATTCCGGTCACCCTCTCCGCGGCCCCTCCGCCGTGGCGACCTCGGCCGCCCGCACGCCGAGGGGCCCGCGCCCGGGTCCCAGCCGCTTCTCTCCCCCCCCCCCCCCCCCGCCCGCCTCCCGCCGCCGCGGCCTGCCCCCCACCGGAGAGGGCGAGCGAGATGACGGAGCAGCCAACGGATCGCGCGGTCCATCAATCACACATCACGCGACGAGTCGATCAATGTCTGGCACGAGACGTGGTACGTGATCTTCCGCGAGAACACGCGCCCACTCTGGTTGTTCCAAGTGAGCACCACCCGCCCGAGGAAGACGTCCTGATCGGCAAACCACACCGGCGACACCGGGGCCGGGATGCCGGCACCGCGCGACGCCGAGGTAACCAGCGCCGCCGGCGGGCCAACCAGCAGCAATTGCGACAGATCTAGGTCGTAGCTGCCGGAGATTGTCCCATCCGAGGTGGCGATGCGGCTTTCCCGGCTGAGACTCATCGGCGGCAGGGATTGCCGGGTCAAAGCCACCGGCAGTGTCAACGGGCAGGGGGCCAACGGGTGCGGTCCAACCGGGCAGCTGGGCGTGGTGCCAGGGACAGGGGTGGTGGTGGTGGTGGTGGTGGTGGTAGTGGCCGCCGTGGCGCCGGGACCCGAGCCCGAGCTCGAGCCCGAGCCACTGCCCCCCTCGGAGGTGGAGTGCGGCGGCAGATCGCCTGCATGATATACACCCCCGGTGCTGGGCATGGTGGGCGCAGTGGTGGTCATGTTGGCGGTGGCCACCGGCCGGGCCAGGTCCCCGGCCGTGAAGAATCCCTGGCGTCCGTGGGCCACCAGCTCCGAGGCATGGCGCAGGAGCGCCTCCGGGACCGGGACACCAGCAGGAACCTCAAACACACTGGCCGGAGAGGATGCCCCGCCCGAGACCGGGCTCGTGGCCGGACCGGTGGTGGTGGTGGTGGTGGCGCCAGTGCCCGCGGCACTCGGCGGCCCGGCGGCCATTGTGCCGGCTGCAGCAGCGGCCGTGGCCACATCGCCCCGATGGGCGCCTTCGATCCCGGCATCGGGCAGCGACACCGGCACACCGGCCATATGTAGCCCGGTTCGAGTTAGGCCCAGGGGCAAGTGCACCGACTGGGTCACGGTGGCCGAGGCATCCGCCATGTCCCCGACCCCCGAAGCATCTGGCGAAGGGGGTCCCGAGGCACGGCCATCCGACCCGGCGATGGTCGCCCGACCGGACACGCACGCCCGCGGCAGGAAGTCCACCGAAAAGGCGATGTCCCCATCGGAGCGGAATTCCCAGGCCACTCGGTGCCGGCGCAGGTGCCACCGGCTGCCGAAGCCCTCCGGCCCGAGGAGCCCCGGCAAGCTGAGAACCACCGGCAGAGACACGGAGCATTGGTCTCGCCGGCCGATGACCAGGGCGCCGGAGAAGTACTGCCGCGGGGGGAGGGACAAAGGCCCTGGCCGGGTACGAGCCAGCACCGAGCGTGGCACCGTTCGATAGGCCACTGCTGCCGAGGCAGGCTGCTGCTGCTGCTGCTGCTGCTGCTGCTGGGGCACGGCCGGAGGCTCGGCCGAGCCCGGGCCCATGCATGGCCGCTCGCCGAAGAACCGCACCACGCTGGCCGAGAAGCTGACGCTCTTTTCCGTCAGCCGCGCATGCGAATTGTCCCACACAAGGACCACCTGCCCGAGCATGGTCCCCGAGGCCGGGGAGCTGGCATTGTGCAGATCGATCGGCAAATCCACCTGCCCGGAGATCGGCACACCAACCGAGGGGCATGTCTGCCAGGGGACCACCAATTGCCAGTGCCCCGGGACCATGGGAACCGTGGTGCCGGACATGGCCGACGGAATGGCATCCGCCGCCAAGGCCCCAGGCGCCCGGAGGCGCTGCAAGTCGCCGGATTGTCGGAGAACTGACCCAGCCAGCCAGGTTCCCGGGTCGCCGGAATGCCACCCCCCGGCTATGGTGGCCGCCGCGCCATCCGGCGAGGACACCTCTGACAGGTCGGAGGCCAGCGGCATGGACAGATCCGACACCAGGCGCAGCGAGGAGGAGGACGAATGCCCCGGCGGAGGGAGAACCCCGGGACACTCATCACCACTGGCCGGCGTTTCCGACCCGGAGCCATCTTCCTCGGCCGGGGTGGTGGCCGCCGAAAGGGACGATTGCTGCGAATCCGCATCGGCCCCATTACGCCGAGACCGCCGGCCCAGGCGCAAGCTCGAGGCCAGGCTGCTGGAGCTGCTGGCCAGGCTGGAAGAAGAGGAAGAGGCCGATGTGCTAGCCGAGCTGGACCGGTGGTGGGACGATTGCAACAGGCGCCGGGTCAGCGATCGAGACTTGGAAATGGTGCCGCCGCTCGTGCTGAGGGTCGTCGGGGGCCCGGCCGACAAGTCTGCCAGGAGCCCCGGCTCGGCTCCGGCCGTGGCCGGCGACAAGTACGAAGGAGTGGTCGGCCGGAGGGCCGCCGGCAACGTGGGCCACAGGGCCGCCGGCAGGAGCTGCTCGATGCGCTGCAAATTCAAGAAGGCCGCATGCAAGGGCGGGCAGCGTGATGACCAGTCAAAGGGCCCGGTTGTCAGGAAGGTGGATTCGGCCGTGGCCAAGCGCGAGCGGGCGGCAATCAACTCCGACAGGTGGGCACACGTCCGGCAATGTGCCCGGTCCTGGGCCGGGGTCGTGGCCATGGACCCGACCCCCGGGGCCAGCGGCAAGCTCGACAGGGGGGGCGAGAATTCCAAGCAGCTATCACACTGGACCGGCAAGACCCCCCGATCGAAGATGCTGCTGGTGGTGGAAGCCGGCACGAAGTACACGGCGAATTGGATTTCATGACTCGACGCCGAGCCCTGGGTGAAGTTGAAGCGCAGCTGGAAGCGCGGATTCGACTCGGGATAGGGGCTGGTCGCCGGGGGGGTGGTCATGGTGGTCGGCCGGGCGGCCTCGCCGCCGGCACCGGCGCCGGCCCCAGTACCGGCGCCTGCCTCGCTGGTCATCAGGCACCGGGCCGCCTCGAGGGCCGGTCGTGCGGCCAGCAGGACATCCCCTGACCCGGGTGGCAGGTCGGCCGGGGGGGTGCCATCGCGTGCCGGGGTCCAGTCCAGCAGGAGCTGCACACTGGACGCATGGTCCAGGGGAAGCTGCGCCGCCGAGGCACAGCCGCCAGGGGCCGGGAGGTCCAGCGTCACCGGCAGAACCGCCTGGAAAGCCGACCCATTGCGAATGGTCACCTTGGAAATGTCATCCGAGCTGAGGGCCTCGGAAAAGTCGATGGAGCTACATGCCTCCATGCCGGACCCGAGGGCCGGGGCCGGCGGCGAGCTCACCGCCACCCCGGATGGACCCGGGGACCGGCCTCGCGAAGGGGATCGCCCACGGGTCCGGTCTTCCGGAGCACGCAGCAGCCCCCCGGCCGGACGATCGCCGCCGGAAAGCAGCGCATCGCCCCCGAGCCCCGGGACACCGGGCCCACCGCCCGGGGCCATGCCCAGCAATCGGCGTGTCGGCTCGGCCGACATGTCCGACGAAAACTTCGACACCTCGATCGGCTTCGGCGACTTGATGACCGAACCATCATGCGCGCGGGAGCTCTCGGCCACGGCCAGCTGGTCCAGCTGCCCGGCCAAGCGCGAGGTCATCGGCCGCAGCCGGCGCGCCTGCAAGGCCGTCATCTCCAACTGTCGGATCCAGGAGTTGGACACCCGGGCCACCAGTGACGAGTCCACGCGGCCGACGGCCGGGGCCACGGGCGCCGTGCTGGTGCCGGCGCCAGCGCCAGACCCACCGGCGCCCGTGCTCAAGGACCCGGACGGCGACGCGGCCGACACCCCGGCCGACGGCGTGATGGTCCCGCTGGCCGTGACTCCGGAGCCCGGCACCGAGATGGGGCTCGAACTGGAGAGCCCCCCGGCCGTAGTAGTAGTAGTAGTAGTAGTGGTGGTGGTGGTGGTAGCGGTGGAGGAGGATGCCACCAGCTCGCCCACATGCTTCGGCAGGTCGGACGCATGCAACGACAAGAGCGACAATTGGGCCGGGTCCTGCACCGGGTTGACGATGGCCACAAAGAAGAGACGTGTCACTTGGGCCGCCAGGGCGTGGCGCCGGCTTGCGTCGCATGCCTGGCCGTCCGACACGTCGGGTCCCGCCACGCCGGACCCCTGAACGGTGGATCCGGCCTGCATAGATCCGCCACTCGAGTTGGACGGCATGCCGGCGGAGCCGGAGCCAATGGCCACCGACCCCACCGAGGGCGATGCCTGGCCCAAGACGGCCGGGCTCGCGCCGCCCAGAGCCGGCGAGGGGGTGGCAGCCCCGGTCGACCCGACGGCCGGCGTGGCCGAGCTTGACGTGGCGCCAGCCGCGCCGGCCGAGGTGCCACCCCCACCGGCAGACGAGGATGCCGAGCCGGCTGCCCCGGCGGCCGAGCCTGCCTCCGATGCATGGTCATCCGCTGGCAGGGACACCGCCGCCAGGGTGGCCGGCGAGGGAGACCGCGCAATGAACGCCGAAAGGGGCACATTCAGCAGCATTTGGCTGTCCTTGCCGAAGTAGGCCCCGGCCGAGAACCCATCCGGCAGGATGGACATTTGCGCGGCGATGTAACTCCCGGGGGTGGCCGCCGGCCCGGCTGCCGAGGTGGCATGCGCGGAGCCGGCCGCCGGGGCGGCGGCCACACCGCCGCCACCCCCAGCAGCCGGGGCCGCGGCGGTGGCGGCCGCGGTGGTGGCGACCGTCGCCCCCGGCCGGACCCCGGCAATCGGCTGGCACACATCCAGCAGGAAGGCCTCGCGTTTGGGCAGGCGCCATTCGCCTTTGTAGCTGTAGCTCCGCACGGCCATGGTCCGGTGGGAGCTGAAAACCGACAGATGGTCCATGGCATCGGCCGATCCGTCAGCCGGCCCCTCGCGCGGGGACAGCGGCCCGGGCGACGACCCCCCCGGCGGAGACCCGGCTCCCGAGGGCGACGTGCCCTTCAAACTGAGCAGAGCCAGCGTGTTGATGGACTGCAGGCCGGGCTGGACCACCCGCCGGGCCGAGGGCATGGTCAAGGTGCGGAACACCACATCCGGCGGCTCGGCCACATCCACATAGGCCACCATGAGCGGTGGATGGAAGAGCAGCTTTCGGACCTTGCCGGAGGCGGCGCCCTCGCCGGAAGAGCCGGACGTTGGCAGCAGCCCCGAGTCAAAGGGATCGCTCACCAGCGGCAGGGAAAAGGCCGCCTCGCAGGCCAGGGCCGTGCGCAGCAGCGTGTCCGACAGCTGGCGAATGGTGGTCTTGTCGACAATGCGCCACGGCCGCCGGAGGATATATGGCGACATGAGGGCCCGCCGTACCAGGGCCGCGTGCGCTGCCGGGGTCATGACCAGCGACCGAGCAGAGGCGGCCTCGGTGTCCGCCGAACGGGCGGGGCTGCCTGTCGCAGCGCCGCTGGCGGTGGCATCGCCCCCGACCGAGGACCCGGTCAGCTGCTGATGCAATTGGCGGAAATCGTCATACGACTGGCTGGTGGACATGGTCCCGGTCCCGGCAGAGGGGGGCCCAGCACCGGGCACCGTCAGGAATTCCCCATGCCCGCCGAAGGGCGCCGCCGGGGAGGAAAGCCGGCTATGAGTGGCGGCCGGCGCCGAGCCCGGCGCTTCCAAGGGCGAGGGAGGCCCACTCAGGTCGGCCAGGTGGTCCAGAGAAATGGAGCTGCTGATGGACGCGGAGATCGGCCGGCCAGACCGCAGGAGCCCGACATCGGCCGGCGACCGGGAACGCCCACGTCCATCCCCATCGCCCTGTGTGTCGCCGTCTTCACGAAGGCCGGCCGGCGTGGCGGCCGCCGACCGCGACAGGACCGGCAGGCCGGTGCCCGAGTGCGAGAGTGTCGGAAGCAAAACGGACACCTCCTCGATCGGCAGCAGCAGGGGCCCGCTCTGGATGGAGGGCGAGGGATAAAGGACCCTATGCGCCGGCAGGAGAAAGGGAAGGAAACCAAAAGGGGGCCGGTGGAGGATGGGGTTAGACCAAGCACCTGGGAATAGGCCGAAAGGGGGGATGGGAGCAAGGAAGCACGCACAGGGGGGAACCAAGCCGCTCGAAGAGGGTTTTCAGGCGCTCCACGCGCGCGAGATTCGGGTGAAGCAGCGCGCGCGTCTCACCCTCTGTGTGCGGTGCAGGTGGAGAGAGAGAGAGAGAGAGAGAGGGGGGGGGAGGGAGAAAGGGAGAGGGACGCATGTCAGCCAGGAGGGCAAAAGGGAAAGGGCAAAGTAGATGCCTGGAGGGCGAGCCCAGATTGCCCCCCTGTCACGAACCGAGTTGCGATACCCAGGTGAACTCGGCCACGTCTGGGTGACCAGGAACCGGGCTGATGAAGAAGGAGCACAGGTACACCAGTGGCCGGCGAGTGGTCTGGGCGTGCTTCAGGGCCTGGGTGACTGACGAGGCCGACGAGGAGAGCAACCCCCCGGAGGTGGATCCCGCCTGGCCCATGACCGAAGCCACCACCGAGGATGCCGACGAGGCGATGTCTTCGGCAAAGTGCGTGGCCGCCGACGCCAGGCTGGACGAATCGCGCGTGAGGCTGGCACCCGAGTCACCGGTGATGAAGCCACCGGGCCCGGGTTCGCCATCCTCGGCCATGCCGCCGGCCAAGCCACCGGAAGGGGCCTCGGCCGCGGTCCCCTGGCTCGGGGCAAAGGTGACCGAGCGCATGGTAGAGAAGAAGGACCCACTGGCCGGGTCCGTGCCATGGACCTCGAGCACCTGCCAGACATTCAGCGGCTGCTCTTGGTCTTGCTGCTGCTGCTGCTGCTGCTGCTGCTCGGACGGCGGGGTGTCTGTGCCGGTCCCGGCACCGGTCCCGGCGCTCGAGCCCAGTGTCCCGGTGGCCGGTGTCAGGGGCGAGAGCATGGCCCCGGCCGAATGGGACTTGGACTCGGACTTGGCCTCGGAGCCGGACGAGCCGGAAGACGAGTTGCCAGCCCCGCCGGCCGTGCGCCGGCGAATGGACCCAAAGTGCAACTCCCGCAGGCTCACCCGCTCCACGCCCAGGTCTTCCACGCGCCGGAGGAAGCCGGCCGCGGCGTCCGAAAGCCCGGCCCCGGGGAGGACCGTGCGCAAGACCGGCGCCTGGCGGAAGGAGGCCTCCAGGCTGGCGATGTGCATGGAGTCATTCTGCCGGAGAACACGCTCCATGGCCGCCGGAGAGCAGGCCACTCGCGCCCGAATCCGATAGAGACTGGGCTCGCCGGGTTTCTGGGGCTTGCGCTTCTCGAAGACCGCCGCGCCATGCTTCTCGCTGATGCTGGTCCAGGCAATGGCAGCTGTGCGGGCGGCCGCCGACGGTGCGGGGCCCTGGCCGAGGGTGGCCGCGGCGCCGGACCCGGCCGCCACGGGCCCGGGCCCTGTCGAGCCGCTGACACCGGTCCCCCCATGGATGGAGGGCGATCCGGTGGTCGAGGAGGCCGCACTGGATGACCCGGTGTCGGCGGGATGAGACGACCCTCCGGGGCTCGGCATGCCAGCAGTGGCCGGACCCCCGGCAGAGGGGCCGCCACCGGCCATGGTCCCGGCCCCGAGGGGCGTCGCCTCGCCATCATCACCGGCCAGGGCCCGAAGCCGCAGAGATCCCAGGCTGGTGGAGCTCGAGGGCGAGTGAAGCACCTCCAGGGTGGCATAAGCCAGGGAGGAAACCAAATCCGCCAACACCGAAAAGTCGGCCCCGGTCAGGGGAGCCGGCGCGGCCGGCATGGCAGCCAGTTGGAAGCCCAGGGGGAAGCGAATGCGGAGCTGGGTTTCACGCGCATGCGGGTCCGAGCGGAACCGCCGGCCCGGAAGCGGATGGTGCATGCGCGCGTCGGCCCGGCCCCCGGCGCCGGCCGCCCCCGAAAGGCCCCCGGACAGGCCGCCATGCCCGGCACTGCCACCGGCACTGCCCTGTCCCAGCAGGTACCCGGACAGGGGATTGAGCAGGGCCTCGGCCACCAAAGCCGGCAGGTCGCACTCGCACAGGGGATGCTTCGAGGGGAAGGATACCAGGGGAAGGTCCACCGGCCGGCGCTGGGGCAGGGCCAGCAGCTCGCGCAGGATGGATGCCAGTTTCTTGGCCAGGAAGCGGTCCACCTGCGACCGGAAGAGGATCAAATTCGAGGACACTTGCAAATCGAGAACCGGCGGCCGGACAAAGGCAATGTCCATTTCGGACAGGTTCTCCGGGTGCGGCAGGCGCAGCCGGAGGATGCCCTCCAGCCGGCGCAGGGACACCGACACCGGGGCCGTGAGACTCACCCCGCCGACCGACGCCTCGACCACCAGGGTCCCGCCGATGCTGGACGCCTGGCCGCCAACGGGCCCGCCGGCATAGCACAGAGCCAGGTCCACCTCCACCGGGACAACCTGGTGGTTGTGCTTGGCCGAGGGGCTGTACGGAAGGATGCGCGCCCAGAGGACCGTCGGCGGTGTGTCACCGAGGAAGAGGTGTGACAGTTCGACCGATTTCTGGCCCAGGGCACATGCCCCGCCGGGGCGGGGACCGAGATGTGAGTGGCCGGCGGGAGGGGGCCGAGGAAAAAAGAAAAAAGAAGAAGGGAGCCATCCGCGGCCATGGGGCCCGGCGGAGGGAGGCAAAGGGGGGGGGGCAAAAGCAAGCCGGCGCGATCCACGGCAAGGGGCGGACGTACAATGATCGACTGGTTCACCAGCTTCGGCAGGACCTTCTCCTCGAACTTGCGGCGAATCTTGTTCTTCAGCAGCGGCGACGTGCGCATGGAGAAGAACAACCGCGCCAGGGCCACATTCAGCCAGCGGCATGGCTCGGCCCCCTTCGGCAGCGGGGCGCCCGGGTGCAGGGCAAAGTCGGCCTCCGTGTAATCGTACCCGCCGGGGGCCGGGAGCATGGCGATGATGGACTCCCGGGCCCCGGTTGGCCATTCGGTCAGGCGCTGCGAGCGAACCTGTCGGCGCATGAGCTCCCGCGGGTCGCCCAGCGGGGCGATCTCATCGAGATCCACATAGTCGGCGAACATGTCGTCAAGTGCTTCGGCCGGGCCGCCGGCCGGCCGGCCAAGCAGGCTCCGTGCACCGGGACCCGGTCCATCCTCGATGTCCGAGTCGACGTCCAGGTTGCCCAGGTCCGCCTGGGCCCCGGCCGCCTGGTCGGCCTCCGGGTCCAGTGCCAGATCCAGCAAGTAAGGGCTGCCGTCGGCCGCGGCGGCCAACGCCTCGGGCGAAGTTGCCGCACGGGCCAGGAGCCGTGCTCGACGTGACTCAACCACCGCCCGCCGGCGCCGGCGCTCCGCACGCAGATGGCGTCGGTTCTCCTTCTCCGAGTAGGACCGCTGCACCAGCAAGGCCAGGCCGGCCGGCAAGGCAGCGAGGCCGATCAGCAGTCCAAAAAGAAACGCCAGGATGGCCATGGCTGGTGGTGGGGGACGCGCGTGTGCGTGTGTGCGTGTGTGCGTGTGTGCGTGTGTGCGTGTGCCTGTGTGCGTGTGTGCGTGAGCGTGTTGGCAAGGGAGAGGGGAGACCCAGGCAGTGGTACCGACGGCGACGACGGCGACTGCTTCCCTGGGGGCCCGGGAAGTGGGGTGGAGGCTGGAGGAGAGAAGGATTTAAATGAGTGGAGGGGG